GCCGCAACCAGGCTAGCGCCAGGCCCAGCAGCCAGGCCTCAGGCACCCGCGCCACGTCGGGGGCACCCAGCACGGCCCTGAGAGACGCGGGATTGAGCTCCAGCAGCCCTGCAGGGCCCGCGCCGCGCGCCAGCAACTCCCTCAGGTGGCGCACGATGCAGCGTTCTGCCGCGTCCAACGTGTGCGCCAGGCCGAAGCGCGCCGCCATATTGGCGGCAAAGCAGCAGTTCTCCGGGGCCAGCTGGCGCTCCAGGTAGCGGCCGCACAGCCCTAGGGCCTCAGTGACCTGCAGGTAGCTGGCGGCCTCCAGCGTGTCCTCCACGGTGTCCATGGAGAGCGGCAGCCAGGCGGTGTAGATGAAGTCTAGCAAGCGCTGCAGGCCGGCCGCCGAGGGCACATGCAGGTGGATCACGCGCGCCCGGGACTCCCTGGTGTGGCTCTTGAACAAGGCCCTAAAGTAGTCGCTGGAACACGCGAGGAGCGACCTGTGCGCCGGAAACTCGCTGCCCTCGGCCTCCAGGGTCACGTCACACAGAAAGCCCTCGGCGCGCAGGGCCTGGTAGCCGGTAAGCAGCGCGCCGCCATGAGCTTTGCAGTAAGACAGGAAGTAACTCATGATGCCCAGGGCGGGAAGCGGCCAGGCGGGGGCTGGGTCCAGTCAGGCGCGGCCGGAGGCATCCCAGGACACGGCGCCCCCGAGCCCCTCGCGCGAGCCGCCGAACCCCTAGCAGGGGCCCATTTTTGTCTGCTCAGCTTAAATCCCAGGGCTTCTTCGCCCAGGTCCGCAGATCTCCTCGGGCCCTTCTCAGAGCAAATCCGGTCGGGGAACGGTTTCCAGAAGCCCCTAGTAGGGGAGGGCAAGGAGTTTGGAGTCTTCCGGGGGATGCAGAGTTTGGTTTCGGCGACTGCCGAGGCTGCCAGCGCGTTGCCCAAAACCCCCTCCCCGGCCCAATTTGGGGAGCCCACAACAGCGCGCCAGGGGCCGCAGTGGCGGCGCACCATCACCTGGAAGGGCGGAGCTGCCGGTGGACTGACTCCGGCGGGGTGCTGGATCTCCGACGGCCCAGATGCGCAGATGCGGCCCTGCTCGGGCCGTCCCGGGAGTGCGGGGCAAGGGCTCTGACCTCCCGGGGGTGGACCAGGAGGGTTCTGCGGGCACCCGCGAGGGCCGAGGACAACTGGCTAAGGGGCAGAGGTGAGGGTGAGCTTGTTCTGCGCGGAGGATCAAATCAAAGCCG